AGAACATTCTTAAACTAAAAAAGTTATTTGTTGTTTATCTGAAATTCAAATTGAACTGGATATCCTGTATTTTGTCTGGCAGCCCTACCTGGTGTACCTGACAGATATAAACGCAAAACCACTCAGAAAGGACATTATCATGAGGTTTTTCACAGGGAGGGAAAAGCCCTGCTAAGGAAGGGCTCACAATAAAACATATGAAACCATATAAAGACACAAACCATCATGAACAAGAGTCAGGAGAAACAACAAACAGGACAGAACCTCAAGAACTTGGCCGATTCATTCACTGAGCAAATATTTATGGAGCACTGTTCAAGGTGCTGGGGATCTGCAGGGAACAAAACAGACAAACAGGATGGGGTCTAGCAGGAGAGCCAGAAAACAGTAAGAAGCGGCGCCGTGTGGGACAGTGATCAATGTTACGAAGAAAAGTAAAGCAGAAACGGAGAGAGAATATTTTGGGAAGAATGCTTTTTCAGACAGGGAGAGGAAGACCTCCTGGAGATTCTGAGTGTAGACTTGAAGGAAGTGAAAGCATGAGCCCTACAGATCTGGGGGAGGAACTTTCTAGGAAGAGAGAGCAGCCAGCCCAAAGGTTTCAGGATGGGTGTGTCCCCGGCAGGTTCAAGCGACAGCCCAGAGGCTTATGTGGCTGGAGTGGGGTGAACAGAGGTCTGAGTGGTGACACCATGACGGAGGGGGGCAGATCACTGATTTGCCCCCGTCTAGTACAGGAGCCAGCAGCCCCAGGTGGCTGTTTACTTTTTTAAATAAAGTTCAATAAAATAAAAAATGTATTCCTCAGGCAGTCCAGCCACATTCCAGCGCTTGACAGCTGTGTGTAAAAGTAAGGAGTGCCGCGCTGAGCAACTCAGACAATGTCGCTCTCGCGGCAGAGGTTTGACTGAACAGCGCTGCCAGAGCCTTAGAAATCACGGCACAGCGGCTCCTGCTCCAAGTGAGATGAAGAGAACAGGACAATCAGAGAATATAAAATGATTAAAAGAAGGAATCAAAGCCCAAGAAGATACCGAGACAGTGTAAAAAAGGGCAGATTTGAAAAAGAACCCACAGACCTAGACATTTTTTAAAAATTGAAATGAAAACCTCAGTGGTTCAATTAAGCAGATGCGATAGAAGATGGAATTAGTAAACTGGAGTATGATACGGAATCTTATACAGTGTTTCACATGGGCCCGGCAACACTCGAGAAGTTTCCGCTAATCTTCACACCAGGCATAGGCAGGTGGATAGTATTGTTCCTCCCCACAGAACAAGCAAGGAAATGAGCGCAAAGAGGTGACGGCTTCTCCTCCGGGCAATCTCAAGTCTGTGCACCCAACCACTGTGCCATATTGTCTCTTGGGAGTTTAGCCAGAACTCAGCACAGGAAGATAAAGAGACGATAAATAAGAGGGACTAAGAGGAATGGAAATGGAAGGAGGAGGTCCAATGAACATGCACTAGGAATTCCAGGAGTGAAAAAAGAAAACAGCAGAGGCAAGTAGTTAGTGCACAACAGGATGGCTGAGAATCTGTCACGGTGGAGAAAGAGGAAGCCTAGTGTCCAAGACGCAGGAGTTGGTCCCAAGTAACATGAATACAAATGAACTCACAGAATTCACAATCCAACACAGTAGTAAAATAGCTGCACACCACAGGCAGAGCAGACATCTTTACCAGCCTCTAGGTGAATTTATTCCTAGAAGGGGGAGAGCCGGGAGAGAGACCTGTGGTAGGAGAGGAGCCATCTGGGCTGGTGGTGCACAGTGGTGTGGGTGCAGACAGAGTGCTGGGGAGGGGGGCCTGGGCGGGGCTGGGCTGCTCTGTTTGGGGCAAGGACCACTAGCACGACTGTACTCAATCCTAGCCTCGATTCGCGGACTCAACTGTTCCAAGGTCCCAGCGAGCTTAGGCACGCTCTCTCAAGGAAGTACAGGGTGAACGTTGCTCTCAGAAGCTTAGCAACTATTTAGTGCACGAATGAATGAGAGAAAGGCATTTTGAGAAAAGTGAGACCAACCCAGTACCTGCACTGGGACTGCCAAACTGATGTATTTCTAAAAGGCCTCGCGGGCATGTAGTTATGAAAGGCTATTCATGGTGACTCTAGTTGTGTCTTTAACATAACTGATTTCATTTTCTGCTAAGATTCGAAAGCAAGTGTAATAAACAGATCATATCCTTTCTAGATGTTCTCTAGGCTGATTATAAATATTAATAAAATTTTAAATAGGAACAAAACCCAGAGCAGTTTCAGCAGCTTCTGTGGCCAGTGTAGTCTTGCTTGTCAGAGAAGATGTGTTGCAGCCACAACTGTGAGAAGTGACAGAATGCAAAGCCTCCCAATAGAATTTGATAACATGGAAGACACCAGACAATTAGAATGATCTCATTCTCACCTTATCACATGTGCTAATGTTGCAAAACACTGAAAAAGGCATAGTATTTTCCGCTCTTATCCTCTAATTTGGGCTTGGCAGTGTGGGGTTTTATCAGACCTTTCCACTCAACCACCCCGTCTACACAGTGAGGCCACCCTGGGGAAGTGCTGGTCCAAAACAAAGTCCTGTTCTCCTCTCTGTCATGATTAGATCATGAGTATGGGGAAGAAATGTGATGGATGAAAATAACTTTAATTCACCGTAAACAAGTCTATTCCTGTGGACTAATATTTTAATGTTAGAAGGGTACATGCAGCCCACCGAAGGCCTGGATTAGACAAACAGCCAATTATAGAACAAAAACTTTGATAAACGTTGTTCTAATTCTTAACTTGTAAGCCTTGGAGGAAGGCGCTTAACATTTTTACTCAAGAAGAAACTGAGGCTAAGGGTTAGAGACGACAGACTGAATATACAAATGGATAACGGACAGACCAAATATAAAAACAACTCTGATTTACAAACCCACAGCAATAAGCGCAGGAAAGCAATCCATTATCCATAGGAACCAGCCCAGAAAGCCAATCTGCGCTAGAAGTCAGGCTTGCAGAAGTCAGACCAGGAAGCAAGAATGTCTGCTACAGTCAACTCCAAATCACTAAGATTTGATTACTGATAGTCTCTCTGTCTCCACTTCCAACCTAGGGCTAAGCAGAGAAAGCCAGATATGGATCCCTAACCAGTTACCTAGTTAATCTATCCTATAGTTTCCCCAGGCCAACAGCCTCCAATCAAGGCACACCTGCGGCCCTCCCTCCTTTTCCACCATGAAGCTTTCCAGCCCTCTGCTGCCCTTTGGCCTCTCTCTGCCAAAATGCAAGTGATGGTGGCAGACTCCCTTGCTATAGCAAGCTTGAAGAGACTTGCTTGGTCGGTCTTCATTTATTTCCAAAATAACTGGCTCGAGATCCCTCAGCTATTGTGCGGCTGATCAGGGTCTGGAACCAAGACCTGTCTGACAACAAACCCAGCTCTTTGCACTGTAATCACTTGCCCTTTTAGGAAGGCTCAGCCTCAGAGGCCTTCTACAGGCTGGCCAGCAGGACACCAATGAGAGTCAGGGGCACTGTGATTTGGCATAGTTTATTATTACAATTAGTATGCATATAAAACCATGTAAACTCCACAAAGTAAACGGTTTATCCTCTAAAATACCCCAAAAGTCTGCTGTCAACTTCCAGCACCCTACTTTAATATTTAGTTTCACAGAAAGTCATAGTTCTACAAACAGAATCATAATACATTTTTTAGGTAAAGGATTTTTTTGGTCCACATTTTTTGTTAAACAAACACACACTTTCCTCTGGCAAAAGAAGGCAAATCGTCCACAGTGAACTCAAAGCAAACAGATAAAAAGCTGAACATGAGGTACAGCTGAGGTCTGGGCTAATCTGGAATTAGAGACAACGCTGATTTTGTAGGAAACAAAATCAGTTCCCAACCATCTCAGTAGAAAAAAGCTTTATGTAGATTTGGCCTCGGTCCCTTTTGTAAGAACACACCTCAAATAACTTTTGCGTTTCATAGTCACAATGTGTTATTTTCTGAAGAAAGTCATGCAAAGTGTGGGCGTCTGACCTCAGCAATATTTTTAATTAGGTACAAAAGCATCTGACACAGTAATTCAAACTGTAATCACTGTGCCACCTTCATTCAGTTTGTTGGGAGAGTTTTGGTTGCTGCTACGTCTCAGCACTTGGCTTTGCAGACAGTTTGAAAAGGTGGATTTGCCTGGGAAAGCCATACAGTATCTGCTGGGCCCGAGGTGAGGAGGAAGCAAAGTGGGACGAAGGCCCCTCAGGCAGGGAGGCCCCCTGCGGCCCGCAGGAACCTCCTGCTGGCCGGCGCCCTAACGGGCCACCGCACCTCCCATCCCAAGTGGAGTCAGGAACAGGCAGCTGCTGAGGTGGTTGTGTGGTACTGTGTTTTGTTTTAATCTACAATCATAATTGCTAACAACCACCCTGGTGTGTTTCTCATGCTTCAGGTAATTTCATTCCTTCCAGAAGAATGTTAGCAATGCCTTAGTTCTAGTTATCAAAGGAAAGGAAATGAGCCACAATAACAAGATTACGTTTAAACAGACCTGCTGCGAACACAGTATCAGATAAAATAGACAAAGAGTGAACATACTATTATACACGTTTTTGCAACAGCTGCATTCTCCCACTTAGCCTCTGTGCAGAAGTAAAATCTGATAAAGCGAACTTAAGTTACTTTAATTCATGTTAAATACAACTCTGTACAGATTGCACATTTCATACCAAAGCAGCTCAATATCACAGTTAGAGAAATGAAAATGCCCTCTGAGAATTTTCATTTTCCTAGCCCAACAAAACCCAACAGACTCTTGCCCTAAGGGTCAGAACAAAACCAGATGCACTACTTTGTAAACAGTAGGTGAGGTGGTCCCTAGGACTCCACCGCAGGATCCTATGAAATCTCAGGCACACACACACGCACACACACGCACACTTGACCCCCATCTCCCGTCTTCCAGGGCCGCACACAGCCCGCCGCTCGGTACCGCAGCAGGTTGCTTTCACAGTGTGCTCACAAGAGAGCGGTCATGGCTGTGGGGCTGAGGGGTTGGAGGCAGTCTCGGGGGGCCGCGTAGGCGGCGCGGGCGGCCGGCTTCGCCCGCGGCTCCTGGTAGTCGGGGTGGGCGCGCTCCGCGGCCGGGCCGCCGGCTATGGGCTGATCGTAGCCCCGGCGCCCGGCTGCGGGCGCGGGGCGCGGCGGCGTCTGGTACGACGCGCCGCCGGCCGGGAGCGCGTGCGCGTGCGTTTGCGCGTGCGCCGGCCCGGGTCCCGGCGCGCGGTAGCCGCTCTGCGCCGAGAAGGCGTGCGCCCGCGCCGCGTGCCGCTCCACGATGGGCGTGGCGTACTCGGGCTCGGGGTGGGTCAAGGGTAGGGCGTACTCGTGGCGGCCGGTCGGAAGGGGGCAGTCGTAGTGGCTGCCGGCCTCGGCGCTGGGCGCCGCCTCGTCCGCCTCGGTGTCCATCGGGCGGAAGGTGGAGCCCTTCCTGGTCACGGTCCCGGTGCCAATCATGAGCGGCGGCTGGTAATCTGAAATCAGAAGCGCAGGAGACGCACCGTGTGTGTGCCACACGGACGCCCGGGCAAGCCGGCTGTTTGCGGAGAGGGGTGCCCTGCGGAGCCAACTCGGCCGAGTGCCTACGGTGCAGCAGGCAGGGTGAGAGCCCAAGGTGTAAAAGGCGGAGGTGCCACACACAGGGGCTTACACAACCGAACTCGTGCGTTAGGAAGCCTCAGCGCATCGCGGGAACCTAGAGAAGGCAGAGATGACACCTCCCCACCCCTGCGGGGGTAAGGGGAAAATACCTCATAGAGCTCTCAAACTGGCTCCTGAGATGCCAGATTTTGGAGGTGGAATAGGAACAGTGATTCAACAACCTATTAAAAACCATGGGAAGAGTCGGAGTTTGATGTGGCCAGAGTATGAGGGACATGGCGTAGTTTAATGGAATACGAAGACCAAAATAGTAGGTTGGGGACTAATGATAATGGCGATGGTAACAATAAAGCTCCCACTTACTGAGTCCTTACTCTGTGCCAGGCATTAGTCTAAGATATTATCAGTCAGTGAAATCCTCAAAAAACGTACAAAGAGGTAGTGACTATTACTCCATTTGACAAACGGAAAACAGAAGCAGGTTGAGATAAAGTAACATCTCCCAGATCACCCACCTAGCCCCCAATGGAGCCAGAGGTCGAACTCAGATCGCAGGTGTATGCTGTTCACCGTAGGCTCCTTCATAGAGTGCCAGTGCCTTGCTAGCAAGTTTGGCTTCTGTAGAAACTACTGAGGATTCTAAAGAAGAGACTGGCACAGGTAGAGGTAACCTGGAAGCCGACTGAAGAAGGAAAGATCAAAAAATGAGAAAAAACAAAAGTATAAGTCACACACTAGGGGTCTGGCAGCAGCCTTGGAAAGGCCACCCTTTGGAGACATGACTCAGACAAATGTATTACCAGCAATGTGGGGCGTGAGGAAAGAGGGCAGCCAAGGCCCCTTCCCAGGTGTTAAGCCCAGAAGCCTGGGATACACAGTTGGGAAGCCACTGGGAAGAGAATGTATGGAGCGGTCGTGAGGAGGGTTAGGAACAAGGGGTTCAATTTGGGGCCCACTGAGGAACTGGTGACATTTGCATCGCAGGTAGAGGCGTCCAGCAGGTGAGAATTACTCACTTCTTGGGGAAAGTGAGGGAGGTCTGGGCTTAGCAGCTGAGGAGACAAAAATGCAAGGAAGGGCTCTCTATTGGGAGCTCTGAAGCCGGTCCGGGGTGGCGGGGGGAGGGTTGGGGGTGGTGAGACTGCTGAAGAGAGAAACTGTGGCTAAGTGAGGGGAAGAGCGAGACTCAGGGGCTCACACAGTCAAGGTGCCCAAGAAGGACCACACAGTGGGGGAGGGCAACAGGCTGCACCAGAAGCTAAAGAATAATGAAGAGGACAGAGAAGGGGGTCTTTCCTCCCCTTGTTCTATCTACAAGGTAGCACTAGAATTGTTGGGGACTGCAGATGGGAATAAGAAGAGGGATTTTGTGGGGAGAGATGCTCTCTCTGCCCTGAAGCAGCTCAAGCAAGCTTTCCACTGGTAGCTTTCTGACTTTGATACACACACGCACCACCTGGGAACTTCTGGGTTGGTAGGCCTGGGGCATGGCCTGAAAGCCCTCATTTCTGGCAAGCTCCCTGATGCTGCTGGCCCTCAGAATGCACTATGGGTAGCGAGAAGCTAAGCAGTGCTCCTCAGAGAGTGCGGTCTGCAGATGCCTACATATCTGAGAACCGAGACCGGTCTGCAAAAAGACAAGTACACAAATTCAGAGCAAGTGTTTAGAAACTCACAGCAATTTGAGAGTACCTTTATGTCCACTGAGCCTAATAAAAGGCTTAGAGCTTTGTATTTTGTATATCTTTTTTAAAATGTCATTACTGCTCCTCATTTATACAGCGGACCCTGAACAACAGGGGTTTGAACTGTGTGTGTCCACTTATAGGCGGATTTTTTTTTCAATACAGCGTAGTACTGGAAATGTATTTTCCTCTTCTTTAAGGATTTTCTTAACATTTTCTCTCACTTTATTGTAAGAATACAATATATAATGCATATAACATACAAAGTATGTGTTAACTGTTTATGTTATTTGTAAGGATGGAGTCAACAGTAGGTTGTTCTGGTCAGCAATAAGCTATGAGCAGTTAAGTTTTGGGGGAGTCAGAAGTTATACATGGATTTTTGACTGCGCAGGGGGGCGGCATCCCTAACCCCCTTGTTGTTCAAGGGTCAAGTGAATTGTATTTTACAAAAGTATTAGGTCTTGATGGATTAGAAATAATTTTTTAAAAGGCAAACAACAAAATGGATCCTTCCCCAAGGAGAGTTTGAGAAGCCTGACTCTCAGGGATGGCTAATCAGGCCTCAGAGGCCATTCTAACAGTGGACGGCATCTTTCATCTCCTAGCTCGTCTTCCACAAGGCCAGACACTGTGCTTTCCAGGGCCTCTTTCTTAGTGTCTTCACCAAAACCTTAGTAACAGATTAATTCAGGGCTTCCAGATTTTCCTGGTACCTCAGAGGCCATTGCTATAGTGCTGCTCTAGCTCCTGTGGGTGTAATGGCCTTGTCTGAATGGGCTTTTGAGAGAGATCTCAGTGTCTGTTTGCAACTCTGTGCAGAGTTAAGAAAGAAGACTATACACATTACTGACTTATTGGGCCTCATCTGAACACAAGGGTTTTCGTCTTATTTCCCTCCTGTTCTCCCCACTCCCAGAAGCAGCATGTCTGACCCCAGAGCACCGTCCGAGAGGCTTAATGCTTACCTGCCATATCACTTGTGATGAGATCTAACTTTTGCGTCATTTCCTTTTCATTATCATAGCTGATGGTGAACTCAGCGGACTGATGTCTGGCAAAGGGATATTTGATCTGCTTCCAACAGTCTGGAATAAAGATAACAGGAAACAAACTAGTATCTTAGAAGTGTAACGCGCATTGTCCACGATGTGTTTCTCGATGAGTCGGGGGTCAGACCGCCTCCTGCCAGCTGACCTTATGTGTAAATGCATGGCCACAGCTCCTCAGATATATGTGCTAGAAACAGCGTGCTGTGGTCGTTACAACAACGGACACCATTCTGACCATGCTTTCCACTTGCCTTTGCGATGTATCTGTGTACCCATCACGTCCCTGATTATCCCTATGTTACACACGTGGGGGGGGGCATGGTTTCCCATCATCTGCACAGACGCGACACTTGTGTCTCAGGAGTCAACACATCTGGCTCTTGAGACCCTGCAGAGCGGGTGTCCCAAAGTGCCCCTAAGATTCTGAGGGGTCCTGCCCTGCTGCTGTCTCTCTGGACCATGGCTGACTCATTGCACGGGCATCCTGTAGTCCTAAGGATTCTCTGCAACCTGAACCTGAACCCTGCCTGGTTATTCCTTCGCTTTCCCAGAATGGGAAATACTGTGGAAGCCTGGAGATGCAGAGTGTGCTGGACAAACGTACTTTGTGAAAATGGGGCTTTTATAACCTCTCCTGGGTGACAGACTTTGGGGTGGCCTAAACTCCAATGGCCAAAAACCCTGAATGTTAATAAATGATGGGATAATGCTGAACAAAAGTGAAAGTAACTGGCCAATGAAAACTCCCAATTGAAATAAAGAGATAGGACACAATATTCCATTTCTTTTAGGCTTGCTACTTTAAAGGCTATAGAGCTTATTTTTTTAACCATGTAAGTGTGGGCCACAGACCTAATCAAGCTTTTAATCAGCAGATCCTATCCCTTCTGTAAGAATAAAACCGTAGAGTTTTCTGTAAACCAACCTGTTTTCTGGGCCTTAGCTGATCCATATGGATTTCCTTTCTTCTTCTTCCTACAGAGACAAAAGAATCCTACTTGAAAAGGTTTCTAAGTGATAAATGTTGTTTAGAGAAGAATACATGATACTTTCTACCCCTACCCGACTTGTTCTTAACACACATATTAACATTTTATCTTGGCCAAAGTAATGCTGCTTTTCTACACATGAACATCGGGAAAGCAAACATTTTGGTTTTGTGATTATTTGCATAGAGAAGAAACTTAAAAATGTCAAGTCACATACTTTCTGAGGGCTGCAAAGATTCCCATTCCAGCAAGCAGCACGGCAAGGAGCACCAGTGGAATAGCAACAGCTGTGATGTTTATTCCTGGGAAGGGGAAGCCGCCACATTACAACAGAAATGAGCTGCAGCCCAAGTTCACAATCTAAAACTCAACACTGATTTGAAAGGTCTTCAACAGTTTAATATATGGGGAAAATGAATATGTGCTAGGCATTTCCTGATATCAGAAAGCAAACAGGATTCAAAATCCTGGCTCAAGTTTAGGAAAATAGATTTTTTTCTTTTCCAAAGAGACAATTTTTGATGGTCATCACAGATTGACACCTACTCTGAGCTTGTTTGGACATTAGACTCCAAAATCAGAATTGGAGTGGGGGGCAGGTTTCAAGCTGGCCCACCCAGCTGTTCCGGAGGTAATCAGCTCAAGGAACCAGTTCCCCCAGATGGTGGGAGGCTTTGCACGTGAACAATAACAGGAGCTGGGGGGGTGGGGAGGGGAGAAGAGCCCTGGGCTTCCCGTTACCAGGGCTCTGGAGCGGCGGGCTGAAAGGAAACACAGACTGATGACCTCAGACAGCATTTCCACTCTGCCCACAGAATACGGTGTCTTCCTACTTTAAAAAAGGAAGTCACTTTAACAGCTACTAAAGCAGGCCCCAAGTTTGTAGACACCGCAAACTAAAGGAGAAATATTTGTTCTTCACCCTTTATCTGTGATCCCTGAGAAGAAAACAAAGGGATGATCAGGAGTGGAAATGTGTAGTTCATGAAATGGGGCGGGGGGGGGGGGCGGAGAGGGCGGGGCGATATAAGGACCTTCAAAAGGAACAAAAGTCGTAAGTAACAGCAGTGTTATTTACCAGAGTGGAAATTTGGGAAAAATCTAAGAACTTAAACATCCAACAATAGGGGAATGGTTAACTAAGTGATGGTATATCCATATGAAAAAATACTATAAAGGTATTAGCAACTGTGTTTTTCAACTGCTTAATAACACTGGAAGATGCTCATGATACGATGTTAAGTGAAAAAATATATGCTACAGAACAAAGTATGTGGTATGCTACCATTTTTTCTCAAAGTTATAGATAAATATAGTTGACTGGATACAGTGGAATATGGTGATTACCTGTGGATGCTAATTTATGGCTTATTTTTATTTTCATATTTATAGATCTCTAATCTTTCTGAATTTTATAAAACTAATACATGAATCATCTTATATTCTGAAAAAATGACTTTTAATGTTTATTACTTGAATAGATTATATATTTACATGTTCAAACTTCAAAAAGTATACAAAAGTCTCCCTCCTACCTCTGTTCCTCCTCTACGGGAAGCCAAATTATGTTTCTTGGCATTCTTCCACAGATATTGAAATGATTATCTCTATATATTCATTCTTTATTCCTTTTTTTAAAAAAATTTGTTTATTTATTTGAGAGAGAGAGAGAGTGAGCACAAGCAGGCAGAGGGTCAGAGGGAGAGGGAGAAACAGACTCACTGCTGAGCAGGGAGCCTGATGTGGGACTCGATCCCAGGACCCTGGGAGCATGACCTGAGCCGAAGGCAGACGCTTAACCGACTGAGCCACCCAGGTGCCCCTCTTTATTCCCTTTTTTGGACACATGATAGAGTGCTATATGGACTGTCCTATCCTTTGCATATTTTCTTAAGTTTTTCTCTACCTCTAGCTTCCTCTATTACTAAACACATTTATTTTTCATGGCTGCAGAGTATTCCATTGTATGGAGGTGCTATTATTTTTCCGTAAAATCTTTACCTGGTGTTTGAAGGGCAAATACTACTTTCTCTACTTACAATATTGCACCAAAGAGTTGTGGAGATACATCATTTTACACATAGGGCCATCGAACTCTGGACATTCATACGAGAGAGAAAAAAGTTTTTGTTGAAGCTACTGTAATAATCACACAGAGTCTGGTTATGCTCCTGAGGAAACCACAAAAAAGGAACTGCTCTACCTGTGGGCATTTCCGGAGAGGGGATGGATTCTGTGATCGTCTCATCTTCTCTTTCAGTGGAACTGACAGTGTTTGGACTTGTTTTACGCAACACCAATGACTCATTACCTGAGGCAGAGGAGAGGTTGGAAGAACCACATTAGTAACAACTATCTGTCAAAGGTCACGATCTGAACCAAGGAACTCGCTGACTTGCCTTGTGTGACCTGGCAGCCAAAGAGCTCCACTTTCAAAGCTATCCTCTGGTGCCACGTCTGGGGGACAACCCGCACGTATCTGGCCACGATGGGAGGGATGAAATTATTCCTCACTGGATCCCGAAAATTAGAGTTGCCCTGAAACACCTGTAGAATCAAATAACTTTGACCTGAAGAGGCTAGTGGTTAGCGCATCCGTCTTTCCCACCCCACTCCTACCTGGCTGTAGGACACCAGAGCCAGGAACCTAGGTCTGTGGTGGTTCTGCAGACATGCTTGGTAGTGCAGATGCAACGCTTTGCCAACAAAGGCTGCATGACCTAACTAAGGTGGTGCTGCAGATCTGTTTTCTGGAAACACACTGATAAATCTGGAGACCCACTCTCCCACTCAGTTCTTTCCTCTCAAGTTTCTCTTACCTTTTCTTTATTACTCGCAATTCCTTTATAGGTCCTCCACTTGGAGTTGCTGTTTTTGAACTTCATCACGAAACTCTTAACATAGAAGTTGAAATTCGACTGTGTGGATCCTGTGGTCATAATTCCTTGTAAGAAAATATTACTGATAGGTTAGATTTTATAATACAGCATGTATTACAATACCAGGTTTCTTTCCTCTCTCTTTTTTTTCCTCACTTGAAATCTTAAATCATTTTGCAGGCCAATTTTTCTTATTTGCATTTTGAAACCTGACCACAGCTGAGTGTTTCCACACTGACAATATGCCATAAAAAGGTTTCTTCTAGGGGCCGCCTGGGTGGCTCAGTACATTAAGCGTCTGCCTTCGGTCCAGGTCATGATCCCAGGGTCCTGGGATCAAGCCCCACATTGGGCCCCCCGCTCAGCGGGGAGTCGGCTTCTCCCTCTCCCTCTGCTGTTACCCCTGCTTGTGCTCTGTCAAATGAATAAATAAAATCTTAAAAAAAAAAAAAGGTTTCATCTACTCCTTACATCCACACTTAAAATCTGCACACAGGTTCTTCCCATCAAGACAATGTGAAGCCTTGTTACTTTTAGAAAAGACACAGAATACTTTGAGGTAGAGAAAGCGGCGCCTATGTAGCTCAGAAACATAATTTCAACTGCCCGTCATTTTGCATTTGTGAAACTGTACCCGTTATTTTCTTTTTCTCTCCCAAATCGGTCTCCAGCCACTCGCGCTGTTTACGGTTCTTGCCACTGTCCCCCGAAGCCCATGACAGGTCTTGGCCCTGAACTTGGGCTTGGCCAGGAGACCAGTGAACTTGTTCTCCCATCTCACTGACCCACTGCCAAGAAGCTCTGATCTGTGTGTCAGGTTCCAAACTCAATGATCTGCTGCAACCTACAAAAAAAAAAAAAAAAAGGCCAAGAAAGTATTTCAGATATAGACACAAAATGAAAGCAAAAAAAAAAAAAAGTACTCCATCTCAACTAGAATTATTCAGTTGATTTATTTCCATTCTGATATCAAATCAACTGTTTAACTGTTAGTTTTTTAATGGCCCAGACTTTTCATCTGACTCATTTGTACTGTGGTCCCTTGCAATTGCTGCTTTTCTTTTTAATGGACCTGACTGAAGTCACATCCCCTATAAATGACATCTCTCTGTTCCTACTATAGATTTTCCTTCCTAGACTTCTAAATTCACCCTCATTTCAGCGAAGTACAATGTGTCTTAAAGGTTTAAAATGCTGAAGGTTCTTCTCACTTGATCAGAGGGGACTCTATTGTCTGTGTCCTTGAAGAGGAGGGACATCCGGGTGCTCTGAAGATCAGTAAATTGTACTCAACGTCATCCTTAGGACCTTAATTTTACCATGTCCAAGACAATGTGGAGGTTAGCAAATAAAGGCCACACTCCTCTCCTGGACAAAGAAGACATATTCATATTGTTCTCTGGAAATATTTTACTTTATGCTGAGAGAATATTTACACAGAATATATTTCATGATGGAGGGGCTAAAAACCCTTATTTTACACACTCATGTTTGAGCACTTTATTCAAGATAACCACAAATCAAACTGTAATATTTAAAAGCTTTTCCTGTTAAAATATAACAGAAAGGAATTCTATCTTAACATAAATGGCATTTTGAATTTTCATTCTTTTTTTGGCAAAAGCGTGAGAGAGCTTAGATTACAAAGAAAAATATTTTCTACTTCATGCTAATTGAGTTACTGTCTCGGTATTTCTAAGTTACAGCATACTTGGTGCTGTGTGACCTGTGGAAGAAAAGAAAAATAAAATCCTTTAAACTATAGCATGAGAGGAGGATGGGAGAATAAACTACCACTGAAGATGTTAAAATACCAAATTTTTTTTTTTTAAGAGTTTATTTATTTATTTGACAGAGAGACAGCGAGAGCGGGAACACAAGCAGCGGGAGTGGGAGAGGGAGAAGCAGGCTTCCCGCGGAGCAGGGAGCCCGATGCGGGGCTCGATCCCAGGACCCTGAGCTGAAGGCAGACGCTTAACGACTGAGCCACCCAGGTGCCCCCTAAAATATCAGATTCTTAAGGAAAGCTGGATCCTTACCGTTGGAGGTAAAGAGAAATCGCTTGTCGGACAGGGAACCGCTGCAATGATAAACACAAACAGGAGGAGGTGAGCCGCTTACCTGGATCACAATGATGGACACAGCACCACAGCCCAGGCGTCACGGAGCCTTCCCGCACCTCACGGGGTCCTCACCGCACCCCAGCAAGGCTCTTACCATCTTCATCACTGGCGTTTTATAGAGAAACTCAGGACCACTGAAGGGAAGCAACGTTACTAACGCCACCCAGGTGACAAGTGGCCAGGACTCTTGAGTCACGTCACTGCTATTGGGTCAGAACCTTGTGTGGTTTCCCTCACGCCACACTGTGTGGAGAAGGAAAATGCACACATACAGCCTCGGGAACAACCTTAAGACCCAATTAATTAACACCTGGCACTGCAGCAGAAAGAATGACAGCCCTGACTACCTCCTTTGCTTCAGTAGTCGCCTTGAAGCATCCTAATCGCTGTCAATAGTCAAGGACCACGGAGAGAAATGAAGGATACTGGCCACTTTTAGAAGAATGACCATGTCATGTGTCGCTGCCTTCTCCACAGACTTTGCTCCTTCCCTGACAGGTCCTGCCCCAGTGGTGCTGCTCTGGGGCAGCCTCAGCTCACTCAGTCTCTGTCCAGTCACACTCCTCCCTACAGCCATGAACCATTCTCCCTCTGGATGACAAGGTGCAGTGGGAGAAAACTCATAGCATCTCACTGACCCAGCCTGAGCTGGGCCTCGCCGCTGCGGGACTGTCCTACTGCTGAGCTGGCATTAACCCCGGGGCCTGTGGACTCTAGGATTTCTACAGCTTGTGGTACGCTCGGAGGCAAACATCATATCGACCTCATTCTGCAGCTGTCTCCTTCCGTGGAGAAGAGATTCTGGAGGCCCAAGATTGTATTTACCTTTTTGTAAGTCCCTTACCAACTCAACAGTGTGAAACTACGTAGAAAATTTGAAGTTCTCAAGATGAATCTTGCATGCATAGCACTCAGTATACTGATACTCGAGAAACGCACGAAGAGGTAGATGCCACTGTTGTGTGCAATTACTTTACAATCTGAGAGTACGGCTTGTTATTTAAATGTTTAACTCTGAATTACATCCGGCAACCATGGACAGAGAGAGTACTGAACGGTGAAATCCACAGAAAACCCAGAAAGAGGCTGGACAAGAGTCTAAGAACCTTCCCAGCAAAGCTCTGGGACCATTGTTTAGAAGTACCAGGTAGTCCAAGTTCCCGGAATAGACCTTTTCGTTCATATTCTTTGTCCACTCTCAAGTGGAGACTCCACAGCCCTGCCATTCCACATAAAGGTTCTGTTATACCCGCTGCACTGAATACAATGCAGGAACCCGCCATTTCTCACGTGAAAATGCGGACCCGCTTGCCTAAATTCAGAGTTCGCGCCAAAGCCGGGGTGAAGATCCAGCTCTCCTAACTTCTAAAGAAAGGTGCACGTGGTTCACATTCCAAGTTTTATTAATTTATTTAGAGCCTCTATTTGACTGCTTTTTCCATTTTTTTCTAACATCCCTGCACTAAATATTACACTTGAAATTTTGCCCAAATAAAGCACCTGATATTGTGGCAACTCGGAGGGTCTCAACTCACTCCCACTGCCATGAGACACTAAAATATTTATTTTGTTGTCGTTGAAAAAGAGAAGTTAGGGAAAGAAGGATAACTGTGGCATTAACCCTGGGAAGACACCACCAGGGAAGGCTCTACTCCTAACGGCTCTCTGCCTGGCTCTTCGCCCGTGATCAGCTGCGATACATGTTTCCATTGCACTCTATTAAACTAAATACAACCACTTGGAGAATTCTATTGGTAAGTGAGCCTCCTCTCATAAAAATGAAAACCCTCCAGGATGCTGGGGTTCTGAGGCAGTCACACGTCAGCGTGAATGCATTCAATCAGACGCCTGGAATTGCCGGCCTTCCCCGGGGGCTCGAGGAGCCATCAAGAAGAGGCTGATGTCAACTGAAAAAGCAAAGCCTTCGCTGCTGGTGGTGTGAGCCTTCACCCTCGGTCTGAGGTCAGCCTCTCTTCCTGATTCCATTCTGGTCTCCTCAATCAAGGAAGTGACCCGACCCGGATGAATCCCAGAAGAACCCTAGATATTTACTTTAGGGACTCCTTCTTCCTCAGTGGCAGAGCTTTTTCCTGAACACCAAACAATCATGCGTGGGAACACAAGTTCAATGACCGCATGCACACTGCTTCCCCAGCAGCACACCGGCACAGAGAAAAACAACTGCCCCCTGAGGATTTGGGAGTCGGGATGAGTGGAAGACATGTGTCCGCGTGTAGTTCACTCTTCTCTGCTCAGGACAAAAAGCCAGAGCAAAATCGGAGCTAGAAGGAAGAAGGGACCTTGATATAAACCTGGACTTTCTCTTCTTACCAAAACAAAAATCGAACAGTTTGTTCAAACAACTACATGGAATGTGGAGCAAAACATTTCCTGATTCATTCGTGGTTGAGATTTCTGGACTCTTTGCGTCAACATTTCTGATTTACATAAAGCGACTTCGTCTGTATCAAGCCCGGAAGTAATTGAGAACATGTCTACTTCTCCTCAAGCAGTTTAAATAATTTTTTTTCAAAAGTAAAATAAAATCCTCATAGTACAAGTTCAACTTTTTACGGTCCTATTTTTCTACAAAAGAAGCACTGAAATGTATACAAACATAGGCAAGAGATTCCAAAAAACAGATTTAAAACCAGAGGCCAATTCTTTGTTCCTATCTGGAGATGTGGCTCCCAACAAATCTAGGCCACAGCATGGCATCTTTCTGAAATAGTGCCCTGGTGTCAATATATTAGACCATAAAAAATGTAAACAGAAACAGATCCTCAAAAGTCAAGGTCAAGCTGACACAGCTTACTGTGTATAAGCAATCACTTTTATTATAAATCAGGATATAATATTTATGTTCCACAAACCTTGAGGCAAATACATAAGTGAAAAAATATATGTACGTATGTGTGTATGTGTGTATATATAATGCATGCATATATTTCTTTATATATAGTACATATATGTACATGCATACATATATAAAATACATGCATGTGTATATAAAATGAATTTATAATACACACATATATAAATTTTATTTATTTGAGTAAGGATTTTACTTTCTAAAGGTACTCTGTTACTGGGCATTTAGATCTTAAATTTGGGACTGATTTGTCTTTGGTCACACAATAGGAAAAGAACACTTTGGGGCCTCTCTAAGCTAAAAGTCCTATCCAGGGGGAAAGTAGAGGGGAGTCCTATCTATAGCAAGCAGAGAACACAAAGACAGAGCGGTGAGCCCGCCCATCAGAGTGCAGCCTGCACCCAATCCTTAGTGGATGGCTGCCTTCTGTAGATTACATACAGCATCACTTGGGTGGCTTGTGAAAGACTTGGACTGGAATACCCTCTCCAGTTACCCCACCCACAGCCCCCGACTCAGAATCGCCAGTGGGAACTCTGCCTTTTCCCTCAGCTACCCACCAGCCAGGGCCCTGGACGTGAGCATGGTGTGCTGACTGCCACAACTCCTCTCGTGTCCCTCTCTGGGCCTTGACTCTGCTCCCATGTCCCCATATGCCTGGTTCCTGCCTTCCACCAAACCCAAGGCTTGCCTTCTTCATGAAGGTGACCTAACCAATTTCTGCCCCCAACTTCAGCCACTGCTTTGAAATCCCCTCTCCTGTGAGCTTAAGCCAACACCTCAATCCAGAAATGGGTATTGGTCCCTAAGTTTACTTATGAATTCATCAATCGGTTCTTTGGAAGTTAAGATACATCTTCCTAAAAAACAATATTATAACTTGGAGTCAGAATCGCCATTTGAACTACAGTATCGCTAAACTAAAGCTGTAATACATTTAAATAAAAAGGAAAAAAATTACTGTGTAACTTTCTCAAAATGACATCAGAGTCACTACATTTATGCTAACTAGGGAACCTATCAACCCCCTTATGTGGTTTTTTTTTTCACCAGATGAGATGGTCCACACTGCCTGGGAGAACAGAGCAGGGAAACATGATCGTGTTCTTTCTGCACATAAGCAGGGACCATGGCAAAATGGCGGGGTAGGGGGCTGGAGTGGGGGTGCTCGGTGATCTGCACACAGACAGGGAAGTGGTAGAGGATACAGGCCCTGACCTCCTTTTTCCTACTTTTGGATCCCGAAATTGAAATGCCTGTAGTCTCTGTCTTGTGCCATACTCTGGGGACCAAGACTATGGTGACAACCTGTCCAAAAAATACAGGGTCATGGTAGCAGGAAGACATTTCTGGGGCAGGCAGGGAGGGAGCAGGAGATAAACACAGTGGCTTGAGGCTCACCATTCTCTCACAAGGCCTCCACCCAAGGAAAGCCTCCCTCTGGCCCTTTCCAAGCTGCCTATTTCTATGGGTGGACACCTGGACCATGAGGCAGGATTATATTTAGTTCTAACAGCTCTTATTTTCCACTCCAGAAGCTGAGGAAACCTAAAAGCATTAAAAGCTCAGGTTGAAATGTTTAAAACAATTGAACAATTGACATACTTTTTTCTCATGAAGCTGAAAGAGCAGAGGATACCAGCAAACAGAGAGGTAAATGTTAACAAAAGCCCTCTTTTTTTTTTCACTTCCCAACTATTACTCATCACTAAGAGCCTGTCTCTAGGGATCTCCCGGGGAGCTTGGTAATTCTATGGAGGCTTATTTTAGTTCCTTGTCTTCTTCAGTACCTTTGGTAATATTGCAGATAACCAGTAATTTACTAAAACTGGAAAAACTGAAAACGGACAGCCTTTATTTTCTCCTACTAAAGCACCTGAGAGTAGAAACATTCCTTTGCCCTAGAACTTCAGATGTGTGCCATTTTAATTCACTTATCAGCATAAACAGTGAGCTTCTTTATTGCTGCATTGCTCTTCCACAAAGACACTGTAAATGCTGCTTTAAGCACTCACACACAAACTGACAAACCCTTGGGATCATATGCCCACTGTCCCTTCAAAATTGTGAGCTGATAAACTATGCCTTTTGGGTTACCTTCCACTCAGAACAAAAGACAAAATACTTACTCTCTTGAGAGCACACCATTGGCCAGGATTCCTTCATAGCGACTTAGCCCTTTGTGCTGAAGCACACTGATCTGACCGCCCAACTCGTCTGCAATTATTCCTGCATGGATGGCGGCTTTGCACAATAACGAGGTCTGAAATACAGCAACATCATCACTCACAGTTACTCAAGAACACACTTAAAATATGGTGGGAGGTTTCCATCTTGTTATAACATGTGGTCAGGATCCCTGTTTGACCCATGACATTGCTATGCCATAATTCATTTAAATAGAAAGTTGTAGAGGCGGGGAAAAAATTATTGTATAACTATCTCAAAATCACTTCAGAGTCACCACAGTTACGTCAACTTGGGCACCCATCTGCTAGAGAGGGAAGTAGGTAATTTATAGTCATGGTGGCCCCCCAGTGAATAACGCCTCCCGACGGTCATGCCCCTGTGTAGGTACCTCCCACTGACTGCAATGGACCACGTAACTTGCTCGGTTCTTTTTTGCAGATGACATGGCCCAACCAACGGCCACACATGTCATCGTGGCCACCTTCAACCCTCTGGCCCCACCTGATACGCCACATGACTGCAGGAGCTCTTTTAGGCAAGGGGGATTAAGAACTGACCAGCGCAAAGTGCTGACCCACAAACTCATCAGCAAATAACATGGCCGCTATTTTTTTTTAAGATTTTGTATTTATTTATTTGACAGAGAGAGGGAGAGAGCAGCAGAGAGAGGGAGAAGCAGACTCCCAGATAAAGTCATTCTGAAAGCAAATGATATGAAACCAGCCAAACTTAAATAGGAAACCTGTTTGCTAGCACCTACAGATCATGTACTCAGATCTACCATGCAGGAAGCCATTTATTTACCTGTTGTGCTAAAACACAGAGCTCTGTCAAGAGGAAGCAAGATAAACAACTAAAGTAAGAAAAAAATGATGCTATCTCTCTTATTACACATAATTTTTAAGTTCCTTGCACGGGATGGGAAAATAACAAAGATACTTTCTATTGCTGGGGGAAAAACTATACTTCAACTGTTTATTTCCCTTAGTTAATTTCCTGAAGTCATTTAGAAATAGCCTGTGCCAAGTATATCTCAAATTGAGGTATTATAAATCATTTTAAGATTCAAACAATTTATAGGCCAAATGAATATCCTATGTCAATCTTGTAAATAAAGACAATACATGAAAAAGAAAACAAAGAGCAAAATTGCAAAATATGCTGCTTCCAGAATCAGGATGTATTAAAAGCAAAAATTAAAGCCAAGTTTGTCTTCCCCTTGCTGGAGATGAGATTATCAGTCTCCTGAAACATGTATGTTTTCTTAGATGCACAAAGACACATGTCAATAACTCTTAGAAAAGTTCCATCACTATACAGATTTTCACATTTGTAGTAACTCAAGCCAATTCTCATGTGCTAGAAACTCAACTATTTTAAGTAGCAATGTTAATATTCAAAGATCAGATACCAAATTTCTGGGATTGAGATCTGCAAATAGTAAGAAATGAAGGACTGTGTATCTGGAAACAGGACATATACTTTAGACAAATGACTTCTTGTGATGTATTTTTCTCTGGGAACAACGTATACAACCAGTGAGTCTCATTCTGCAGGAGAAACTGGGGGTGCAAGGCAGGAAGAACTGTTACGTAAGTGCAGGGCAGCTGGCTTCCCTGGGCCCAGACACGGTGTTGTTACTCTCTGATGTGAATGGTCATGTCCTTGGCTATTACATGAACCAACAGAAGCATTAAAATACAGAAATAAATTACAAAAAAAAAAAAAAAAAAAGATGACCTCTTATAAAAAAATAAATGGAATTATACCCGTAGGTGTTGAAAAGGGTTTTATTTACCATTTCACTTACACCATGCTTAAATGGAAATGCGAAAAATAGGAATGCATGCACGAATAACCTTGGTTTTTATACTTATTATTTCATTTATTCTCAGAAAAGAGAGAATTGTGCATTTACCTCCGGGGTTTTAGATCTTATTTGACTTGACTTTATGATGAGTTTAGGCAGAGCAACAAACACTTTTTAATTTCCTCCCTGTCCTAAAAATACCCTCAATTACTTACATCTCTGTATCCATCCACCAGATTCCCAGAAATGTCTCCTGCTATGTCTCGACAACCAGCTGGGCAGAATTTGCTGGAAAAAGAAAATAAAGAATTGATATTTTATTAAATTACACTTGAACTAAAAATATAAATTATACTTAAATGCATTTTCTCTCCTCCACAGAACATGCAGGAGGGAGTATGTTGTTTTATTTATTTTTTTAATTTTTTAGAAAGATTGATTTATTTATTTGAGAGAGAGAGAGAATTCTCAAGCGGACTCCCCACTGAGCACAGAGCCTGATGTGGGCTTGATCCCAGGACCCTGAGATCATGACCTGAGCCGAAATCAAGTGTCAGCCACTTAACTGACTGAGCCACCCAGGCACCCCAGGCATAATTTGTTTTAATGACAAATCAGAAACCTGACTTATGAAAACACAGATTAATCTAAAATGTAAACCTGAAGGCAAGTTTTACACAATAATTATTTGCTTTATATAAGGAGTCATTATAAACTCTATTAAACAATGAGCTTCCCTAATGCATCTTAACTGATTCAGAGGTATCCAAGATATCTTTTTTATTTTTATTTATTTTACTTACTTTTAAAAAGTTTATTTATTTATTTGTTTGTTTGTTTGTTTCTAGCAATCTCTACACCCAATGTGGGGCTTGAACTCACAACCTGGAGATCAAGAGCTGCATGCCCTTTCAACTGAGCAGCCAGGTGCCCCTCCGAGATATATTTTTTAAAAAGAAAGTTTCTAAACACTATACATAGCATGATCTTGTTTTCATAAAAAGATGCGCTTAAAATATATAAAATAACAACTTATGTTTTTCATTTTTCATGAATATAAAGAAGACAAGGAAGACTATCTCTGGATTCTCTCCAAGAATAGCATTTTGAGAAACTTTCACTTTCTATGCCATTTGACTCTGTAATATCTTGATTCAGCCTACTAGCACTCACTCCCCAATAGTAACTTAATGGAAACCACGTATGTAAATTTAAATATTCTAGTAGCCATATTAAAAAGGTAAAGAAAAAAAGGCAAAACTAACAATAATATATTCTAGTTAACCCAATATATTCAAATTTTATCATTTCTACATGTAATAAAAAAAAATTGTCAACAAGATATTTCTAGTCTTTTTTCTTTTGTACTAAGTCTTCAAAATCTGCAGTTTATTTTATACTCATAGCACACCTGAATTTGGACTAGTCACAGTTTAAGTCTTTAATAGCCACACATGGCTAGTGATGGTCTACTTTAGTTATATATTACTTTTGCAATCAGAAAAAAAAAAAAGGTAGGGGTGCCTGGGTGGCTCAGTTGGTTAAGCGACTGCCTTCGGCTCAGGTCATGATCCTGGAATCCCGAGATCGAGTCCCACATCGGGCTCCCTGCTCGGCAGGGAGTCTGCTTCTCCCTCTGACCCTCCCTCCTCTCATGCTCTCTCTCTCTCTCTCATTCTCTCTCTCAAATAAATAAATAAAATCTTAAAAAAAAAAAAGAAAAAGAAAAAAAGGTATATATATTTTTCAGCTTTACTGTGGTATAATTGACAAATTGTAAGATATTTCAAATGTGTATCATGATGATTTGGTATATGTTACCCAACTAGTAAATTAACATATCCATCGCCTCATATGCATTAATATATAAATGTATATATTTAAATACACACACACATATTTAACACATATATCTCTGGCAAGAACATTTAAGTTCTACTCTCAGCAAATTTCAGTCATATAATACAGTGTTATCTGCTATAGTCATGGTACACATTAGATTCTCAGACCTTATTCATCTGATGGCTGCATATACTAATCAAAAACATTAATATCTCTGTATCAAATACATGACTAGTCATATTAAGGCCAATGCACAAAGACTAAATAGACTCAATTAGGTCAATTTTACTGTCAAATGAATTTAAGTTTACACTAATCGGGTATTGCCAGCAAATGAGTTATAAAAACCTTTTGGCTTTTTTTTTTTTTTTTTAAGATTTATTTATTTATTTGAGAGAGAGAGAGAACATGAGCGGGAAGGACAGAGGAGAGGGAGAATCTCAAACCAACTCCACGCTGAGCATAAAACCGGGGCCGAGCTTGATCTCACGACCCTGAGATGATGGCCTGAGCCGAAACCAGGAGTCGGATGCTTAACCGACTGCGCCACCCAGGCGCCCCAAAACCCTTTGACTTTTAAAGCTTTCGACATTTCACAATCATAGATGAAGGAATGTGGACCTGTACTGGTCACCACACCTCATCTCACCTAAACGCTACAAAACAGCTGGGCTGTAGCCTAGATGATCTGGCACCGTAACATCACCCTGCAGGCCTGAGTATATCCTTTTCTGTAGGAGGACCGGAAACAATCGCTGATGCCCAGAGGCCCTATCACCACTGGGACTCTCTAGGTATGGCTGGGAAGATCTCAGAGAAGGTTGGCATTTGTCCATGATGCATGAATGGCAACTTTACAGGGCAAATGTAATTACTGGTCATTTTAATTTTTATTGTCTATTTAAATTATTGGTCATTTTCTTTTTTGTTTCTCTACTAGACTTAATATTAGTTAACACCAAAATCGATTCTGCATGTAAAATAATCTCATTTATTAGAATATCCGAGATGGTCAGGACCACGGACTCTTAGTGCCTGACTGTCTGGGTATACTCATGAAGTGTGTAGCCCTGGGCAAGCTACTTAACTGCTTTGTGCCTCTGTTTTCAGGGTATGACAGAACCTACCTTGCAGGCCTACTAGAACATTCACGTGAGTTATTTATATGCAAAGTCCAGGGAGCTATGACTGGCACGAAGTAAGCACTCTAAGGATTTACAGCTGTTGTTAGCGGTGTTACTGACAGTTCTCTCTAGACCAGTGGTTCTCAACAGGGAATGAATTTTGCCTGCCCTGGAAGACATCTGGCAACATCTGGAGATATTTTTGGTTGTCACAACTGGCACATAGAGGGTAGAGGACAGGGATACCGGTAAGTATCCAACAATGCACAGAACAGCTCTTCACAACAAAGAATCATCTAACCCAAAATAACAATAGTGCCAAGGTTGAGAAGTCCTGCTGCTCTAGACTGCTCTTACTTTATAGATGAGGAAATGTACATCAAAGAGATTAAGTAATGTTTCCAGTTAAAGTAAAGCTGGAATCAAAAATTTCAGCTCCTATTCTCAGTAAGTTTCTCTTTTGTGAGAAAGACAAAATGAACTCCCTCCGAAGTGAAGGAATTACAAAAGTCACTTCCAAATGCTGGCCAGGTAAAAAAACACAGTCTAGACTCCACTATGGCTCATTGGTACTACAGCAGAACACAGGGGTCAGCACATTGTAGCTCATGGGCCAAATCCAGGCTGCTGTTTGTTTTTTAAATAAAGTTTTATTGGAACACTGCCACACACGTTTGTTTACATATTGTCCATGACTGCTTTTGCACCACAGCAGCAACAGAAACTATGAATAGATGCAAAAGGGACTGCATTGCCTGCAAAATCGAAAATATTTACTATCTGGCCCTGGACAAAAAGTCTGCTGATCTCTGGTATATAAGAAAGCATTTTAAGTATTCTTCATTACTTACAACATAAATGATTTAAAAAAAATTAAATACAAATAAGGTACTTTATCTGGTTTAATGTGAAAGAAAGCATAATGTCCAGCAACTTATGCCTGCAGCACAGCTTGGACACTGTATTTACCTGTATTCTGTTTTCAAATAATGGTTAGCGCGTTCCAAGCACGTTATTAAATCTGTCATAAATAAAGATAATTGCAATTAGGAGACCAAATGGAAGGATACTCATACTCAAAAAAATAATAATAATAATTTTAAATAAGGACTTTTAAAAATTTTTTTAAAGATTTTATTTATTTATTTGAGAGAGAGAGAGTGAGCAAGAGAGACAAGCCGGGGGGAGAGGAGGAGGGAGAGGGAGCAGCAGGCTTCCCACGGAGCAGGGAGCCCGATGCGGGGCTCGATCCCAGGACCCCGGGATCATGACCTGAGCTGAAGGCACACGCTTAACTGACTGAGCCACCCAGGTGCCCCTAAAAAAGGATTTTTAAAAAGCATTTATTCACTATTTAGTTATTATCTGAATTTTTCTCCTTAAAAATAAATCAAAACTGAGAACACTGTCTTCAGGATTTAACCAATTTCCTCCATTTCTCTTTTCTACCACCAACCATGGTTTTTCAGCAATTGTCCAGTGAACGCTAACAGGAACTATTTCAAACAGAAAAACCAACACTGGCTCATTACTGTCCACTACATGCGTCTAATATCCTTCCTTGGATATTCATGTGTATAATAACCTCCCTTGGCAAGAGGAAAACAATTTCAAAAGCCTGACGTGGTTCACAGAGAAGGTTTGGGAACATTTTAATTTAGCAATTTAGCTAGCGGCATCTGAGAGACCATGGAACCACGTCCTTACTGAGAATACAACCTTTACACTTTGATCAGTCAGGACCAAGGACTTAAAAAAGAGAATGCTCTTTGGAATACAGAACTGAATGAACACTCAGCAACGGGGATGCGAAGATGTTGTGGATTTTAATGCATTTAGATCAACCTAGGATAGTTTCCAAAATATTCCACACTTGCTGCAATAATTCTTTCTTTCCTTAATATTTTCAATAGTTCTTAGGGAGCAACATACGGTGAACACTGGTCCTGCTGGGGTCTGCTGGGATTGGCCAGATTTGATTGGATGAGAGGGAAATGAATGGCGTACCCCCTTCCTGGAGCATTTTTGCCAGGGGGCGCTGAGAGCAGAAACTCTGGGCACTTCTGTGGCCCTGGGCAGACATGGAATGCATATACAGTAATCACTCTGGAGCCCAAGAGGCCTAGACAGGAGGCCATGCTTTCCTCCCTCATCAGTTTCAACACTCCCCTTCTCTCCTGCTCAAGTGCCAGCTCCATGGTTAAGCACGCCGTGACAGTGACTTCACATGTGACTCATACCCCCAGGGTTCCCTCATGCTGGTGCACTGGTGCATGTGAGTGGATGTGGGGGGTGGAGGGTGGAGGTGCCACTGGTTAAAAGGCTTGTCCCCTAGGGTGAAAAAGGTTGGGGGAGGGCTCCAGAGAATAACCAGACCTTAAAATAGCCCCAAAGATGCATCATCCAACATTTCTCGGAAAATGAGATCAACCCTCTCCCACATAGGTCAGCTGATCAATCTAACATGCTTGATAAAAGTATTCTGAGTTCAGATCTAACTGCTTACAAAGACTTTGCATTCCTCTCTTCCTTCACGTATTCTATACCTGAGGTCACAATTCTATCCAGAGATGGTGATACAAGTAGCAAGAGGAATTCTTAGACAGACACAAGTTTACAGATTTGGGTGGATTCTTCTGCTATACCTGGATGGTCACTGCTGGCATAGGTCAGCAAAAATCCCCGCCCTGAAATGTGGGATCCACTCTCAAAGCGAACAGTGACTTCGTTCGTGTTCAATAGGAGTTCCTTGGGAACAGGCATACTTCCACAATATGGTCCTAAAAACAAAGCATACTTTTGGCACATTCAAAATTTAGACCAGCACAAAGAATTACTAATATGGTATTTTTTTTTCCTTAAAGGTCAAATTTAGCAGACAACACGTATATAAGATTGCAATTGTTGCCCAACTGAAATTTTGCTTATTACCGGAACTGATAATTAGTGCCTAAATGTGGACTTGATGATACTGACAAGCCAGAGGGGCTGGGGGCCCAGTGGCTAACTCTAGATAAGCAATAGGCTGGAATTAATTAATTGTGAACAACCCGAGATAGATTTAAATTTTTATAAAAGAAGACTAACAAAGGTCAAATACATTAGGTAGTCAAGAAAATGTTATCACAAAGGTGATATTCTAGGGGCCTCCTAAATTTGCTAGAAGAAACTCACAAATTTGTTTTTCAAGGAGGTTTCCAGAATTAAAAGACTGTCCAGTGCATGGTAACAATCTTATTTTCATGCAGTTTACACATTTATCTTTCTCTTACAGTGCCTTCTGGTTAACCCATATAATTTATTTTGATTTGCAAAATGAACTTTATAAAAAAGCAGAACAATTTCTAAAGGCTTTTGAAATACTGTAGTATAAATTATGCAATTAAGAGTGTAATACATCATTTCTAGAATAAGTTACCTGAAAAGCAATATCCATGAACTTTCAAAGAACAAAATTAGATTTGGAACTAAAAAGGAAAAATAGACCTTCCTCAGACTACTCAGGTTAAAGTTTAGTTTGTAAATTGTCATCTTGCAAATCATGTATGTAAGACGTAATAATTCTAAGAAAATAGGGCTTAGCAGGCAAAGTTTGAAGACGGGTATTTCTTCATTAACTTCTCCCCAAATACAACAGTATGGAAAGAGTCAACAGCAACATCAGGCAACAGTCAACAGTGACAACAGTGTCAACAACAGGTTAAGGAAGGAGGAAGGAAAGAAAAAGTTCTGGGAGAGGATCATGAACCCAGCTAAGCACTCCCCTCCTGCTATAGAGGACCGGATTTCTCTTTTGTCCTGTCCAGGTCTCACATTTGGAAGATGTAATTGAACAAAAGAGAAATGTTGTGTGTTTACCTTCATGCCTCAAATCTTTGTTGTTCCCTATTATTAAATTATGGTGAAATCCAAATTAAGAATGATGACTTACCTCTTTAGAGATACTCATCATATATAATTACTTACATGAAATGCTAGCAAACTGCTTAGAATAGTACCTAGCATATAATGAGAACTGCAGAAGTACTTAGTAGTTAGTAGTAAGTAGTTAAATAAATAAATAAATGAATACATTAAAAGAAACAAATAAATAATGTCTGTTTTCCTTTTAGACTATGTTCCATGGGGTTAGAAACTTTTCTATCCATCACTTTATCCCCGGCAGCTCATACAATACTTGGTATGTGGTGGCCTTCCAAATATTGTTAGAACTGAAATGAAGTTAAATGTTCTTCTATTTGCAACAGTTTTGAAAAGCCAAACCTGATTATAAAGATGCATGAAAGATTTAATCCTGGCATTTTAAAATATCATGAAGAAGTCAGGAAGAGAAATGTGGAAAAATAAGAAAGGAAAGAAAATCATTAGTGTAATAAATATATGGATATTTGTGAACTTTGACAGTGGTCACAGCATGGTAGAGAAGCAGTTTATACTAAACCCATTTCTGTACAGTAAAGTAGAATGATAAGCATTTTTTCAAAATTAAAGTGAGTAAGGTTACTATACTTGACTTTTGCAACTTCAGTTTGTTTTACGTATGTTTGCAATTCCTTTGTTCTCTGCACAGATAAGTGAAGACACTTGCTTTGCAAATCTAAGAACAAAAATGAAATAACTAGGGATGCCTGGGTGGCTCAGTTGTTAAGCATCTGCCTTCGGCTCGGGTCATGGTCCCGGGGTCCTGGGATCGAGTCCCACATCGGACTCCCTGCTCAGTGGGAAGTCTGCTTCTCCCTCCCCCACTCCCCATGCTTGTGTTCCCTCTCTCGCTGTCTCTCTCTGTCAAATAAATAAAAAATCTTAAAAAAAAAAAAAATGAAATAACTAGTAACTTGTTGCTATTGGTAAATCAGAATATTTGTCTAACCACACTTATCTTTTCCAAGAGGAAATGATAATGTATTATACTCTTCTCCAAATGGTGATAATGATACTAATCTCTCCTCCAGTTTCTATAGCATTCCATTGAGTCCTAATAAAACAGTAAGGTAAGCAAGTCTAAATTTTTGATCAGTGAGAATCTGTTTGGATTTTTTTAGATATAACACTGTAAATTTAAGGTATACTATATATTCATTTGATACATTGATATACTTTAATATGATTGTCATTGTAATTAGCACCTCCATCATGTTACATAATTATTTCTTTTCATGGTAGGAATAATTAGGTTCTAGTCTCTTAGTGAGTTTGGTGATTATACAGTTGACCCTTGAACAATGTGGTGGCTAGGGGTGCCGACCCCCGTGTAGCTGAAAATCCACAGATAACTTCTGACTCTCCAAAACCCTTTTTTTTTTTTTTAAAAAAGATTTTATTTATTTATTTCAGAGAGAGCACAGGCCCATGCAGGGGGGTGGGGGGAGGGGTAGAGGGAGAGGAAGAGAGAATCTCAAGCCGACTCCCCACCCCACTGAGGATGGAGCCTGATTGCGGGTGGGGGGTGGATTCCCAGGACCTCAAGATCATGACCTGAGCTGAAATCAAAAGAGTCAAACGCTCAATCAACTGAGCCACCCAGGCACCCCTCCTGACTCTCCAAAAACTTAACAACTAATAGCCTACTGTTGACCAGAAGCCTTACCGGTAACAGAAGCAGTCAATTAACACATATACATTATATGTATTATATACTGTACTCTTATAATAAAGTAAGCTAGAGAAAAAAGTATTAAGAAAATCATAGGGTAGAGAAAACACATTTATGGTACTGTATTGTAAAAACAATTCATGTGTAAGTAACCTGCATAATTCAAACCTGCATTGCTCAAGGGTCAACTTCAATATTTTGTCCGTATTCACTATACTGTGAGTTAGATTAGTGCATATTTACTACTCATTGCAAGCTTGTACCCTTAAATAACATTGACCTATCCACGGCACCCCACCCAGTCCCCTGGTAACCACGCCCTTTTATTCTCTGTTTTTACAAGCTTGGCTGTTTTAGATTCCACATATAAGTGATATCATACAGTACTTATCTTTGACTGTCTGACTTATCTCACTTAGCATAATGCCCTCAAGGTCCATTCCTGTTGTTGTAAATGGCAGGATGTCCTTCTTTCTCATGGCTGAATAATTGGAATGTTTTTTCTTTTTTAGATTTTTATGGAACAGTTGAAAGGAAAGGTTGCCAACACTGCATGTATCTTACACAAAGAGATAAGAGTGTATGTCATCTCGCTAAGTTGTCACACAATACATATAATTTCCTACCCCCCAAAAAACACATAAATATAGTAAAATTCTAATTTGGTTGTATCCTCCCAAAGTCATGATAGGAATGTAAATATTCCTGGAAGAAGTTCAAAGATAAGATGTAAACACACACACTCCTTTAATCACCTTTACCCCTCAGGCACCAATCTCTCTCCCATTCTTCCTGAAGTACTGTAAAAATTTAACTAAGCCCTGGATGCGGTAGGCTATACCCTCTCCGTCTCAACGCAGCATTAGCAGTTCCTCTGTTAGGTTCACCACGACACAACCATCAGAATAGCAGGAGACAGCGTTAGGCCAGTGGGGAGGCTTGAAGTCCAATGCCGTCTGTCGTATCACCTGTTGCAAAACATCCAATTATTTCCTGTCTGAAGACCTGACAGATAGATTCCTTCTCACGGAATGGAAGTTCATAACTGCACTCCTTGAGTTAAAAGGGAGAAGAGATGAAAATGGAAAAACGTGCCTGGCAGTGAGAGGGAAAAATAATGAATGGGAAGGTACTGAAGGAACCGACCAGTCTGTCCCAAGCAACGTTTTCAGTTTTCAGCCAAACTCTATTGAGGATTATAGCTTTTCTTATGACAAAGCCTTCCTCCACCCACGCCTGGCCACACAACGTATTTCTCTGTTAGTATTCTCCATCGAGGCTTTTAAAAACGGGGTTACACTTATGTTTACACATCCCCAAAGACAATTCCAAAGGAAACCCAATTGAGAGCTTGGCGACTTCTAATTTTGATCACAGTTGTGGTGTCTGTCCCAGGCCCCAGTCTTTCTGGACAGGGTCTTACGAACTGGAGCAGACCTAAACATAGGACTCCCAGTTCTGCACGGGTATTTGCTCCACAACTGGCCATGCTGTGTGTTCTGCAGCACTGGGACTTGCTAACTCCCCTCGATCCTTGTCAGGAGGCGGGTTCCATCTTACTCTGCTGTCCCTGGTTCCCATCAGGCTGGGGCACTGTGGAAAGGCAGTTCATCAAGCAGGCAGACAAATCAGGAAAAATAAATACCTCTACCTTTTGTGAAATGAAATTGGTAGCCCTGGACTGTGGGAAGCGCTATCGGCGATACCAAATGGAATAGCGCTGTGGCATTTGGCACCACACGTGAGACCAAGACCTAGCAGACAATGCACTGATTCCCTGGACAAAGGAAGAAAAGTCCAGGAACCGTAGGAGCTGCCTTCACTGAGCTCACTAGGCCAGTTCCTCTCAAGACATCCCTTGTTTGGAGCTACTGTTCCATGAGCAGCTGTGAGGGAAACCTTTTATCTTTCCATGTGTGAATAAAAGAAAACTGTCCTCCAAGGAAGAATAAACGGTCTGCCCTGAGCCAAGCCCGGAATCCTCTTGCTCTTCTGGCAATCTGACAGTCCATTCCATACTGCGATTTATGCCACTCGGACATTCTCTGTGGACCGTCGGAGACGCCACATTACAAGGCAATAATCGTTTGGTTAATAACTGCTCCAAGCCATGTCGGGCGGCTATGTGCTTTTCATCTTCAAACGGATGAAACTAAGTCATTGTTTTGTCTGTGAGAGGGATGTGTT